TCCAGTGTTCCTTCTATGTTAAGTCCCATCTTCCTTAAACTGTACTGTGAATACTGTACTGTGAATCTAGATAACTTGGTATTTCCAAAGTCTAGTTCCTGCCTTTTCATTGAGAAATAGATAGAGTTCAGATTTCCTCTCCTGTAGTTTAGCCTGAGAACAGCCTTAGGGAGTAAGCTGGGCATGCACACGAGTCCCCTGATGTCTACGTTTGAAAGCTCGAGCATCTCTGTGGAGAAGCATGATGCACACATCTGCATCACGTGCAGTCCCTCTTGACACTTGTCAAATGCTTAACATTATCTTTGACATTGTTGTCTTCCTTTTTCCTATTCCCCAGTTACCAAAATACAAGTTCTCATTGTATGTTATTTCACTAATTTAATATTCACAATTTGACAGAGATTATGGACAGAGATGACAGAGATTATGGAAAGCAGAAACAGAAATTCAATCCTTGAAGTTCAACTGGATTTGAGGAAGTAATTCTGAAATTCTATTTTGCCTTCTATGTACATACACTTTTAACAAACATTAGCAGACAAACTAGCATTCTCCTTTCCATGATCTTTTCAGCTTTTCAAGAGACAGACCTACAGATGGTTGAAGTGAATGAACAATAAAAAATTTCCTATTAGTAGCTAAATTGCCAACATAATATTCTCCTCAATACCACACATCACTCTAACTTCTAAAAGACTGGCTGCCAGTGCTGCCCTTACAGAAAGGAATTTAAGAATTCTTGAGTTTCAGAAAGAAAGAATTTTCATTCTTCTTTGAACATGATAGGATAGTACTTTGTGGTTGAAAAGAAGCTAGGACTAGAATTTCTTCTGTATACTGTGAGCTTAGCCTCCAAGATTTCCATTTTAACTACTTAGATATTGCAGTATTATGAAATGCCCCCATTCTTTGAAGATCTGAGGTTATAAAGGTTAACAGCCATGTCTATATAGACTTTATCTTACAGCATCAAGTACAGTATCATGGGCAATTAAGTGCTCAGTGGTGCCATTTGCTGAACAGGACAACAATGACTGAACAGGACAACTATGGAATGGAGGGAGAGGTGGACATTTGAACGCTAATGTTACTCATATTTCTCATCTTATGGGATGGATATCTATATGTTATCTATATTCTCCCTACTTTTTTGTTTGAATGTATTTACACTACATATTTTCTCAAATTCTGTTCATCAGTAAACTTATTTGTATTTGAAGGAAAAGAAAATTATATTTTCAACTTATTCTGATAAGTTATATCTTCATATCACTTGTTAAAATTTTGACTTTTATATAAAAAGTGTGCCTTTTTGATAGAATAATTCAGCCAGATTCAGAGTTTGTTGTGCATTAGAATAGCTTGTGATTAAAATGGATCTTTAACATTTTTAAGAACTAGTAAGTTACCACCAAGAACAACTATCCATTAGAAGATAGACTAAGATGAGGACTACAAATATAGCTCAGTGTTTTTGACTGGCACATGTGAAACCCTGGGTTTAATCCCCCATACCACAAAGGGATATGTAAGAGATTTTAAATTATAATGTAATTTAGCCGAATGTTTGTACTCTAGGACAAGAATACATAGTAATCATTCATGATTGTGACTTCTCCCTTATGCTCCCCACCACACATATTTCTTACTCTACTCGATCATGTGCATCTTCAAAGACAATGTAGACTGTTATGAGCTCAAAGAAGCTTGGACGGGGACACAACTTGTGTGAGCACTAACAATTGGTTAACAATTCTGTGCCCCAGTTTACAATGAGAACACAAACAATACTTGATGGGGTTATCAACAGTAAATGTTGGGAACGATAGTAGCTGCCTCATAGTTGTTGAAGTTGAGTGTGTCACTGTAATGGAGCCTTTAATTGACCCTGAGGCTAATGCCACTCTTCTCTGGCATCACCACCACTAATACAGTTATCATCAAGGCTCTAGAATCTCTTACGAGGAACAGACATTTCCTTATTGATATTTTACTCTGTGCCACCTGCATCAGGCACAGGGACAAAAAATAGTGTGAGTTCAGTTTTGTTTTTTTTTTTTTTCATATTTCGTGTGTGTGGTGTGCGTGTGTGTTTGTGCATGCTTGAATTGCATGCTTGTTCTTGCACAGGCTCACATCATCATTTTTAGTGTCAGCAGAGATGACATGAACTACTTTTGGATCAACAAACATCAACTCCTTCCTCTGAATATGCCCTGCAGTCACTTCAGTTTCCTTCTTGCTCCAGCTTTCCTGACTGACTCTCAGTCATGTCAATGCTTACCCAAAAGAAACATTACCTCGGTTCTAGATGCAAACATTTCCTTCCACATCACTCTGTGCAGTTCTTCGCCTGCCCTACTGTGTGCCGGTGCTCAGTGCTGCGCACACAGGCAAGCCATGACTAAAGACAGATGTTACTATTTTCTAAACATTCTGTGACATGAGTGTCTAGAAGCAGCAACATGAAGAAATCACCCTCAGTGTGCCAGCTTAGAACAATGAAGCAGTGGCGTGTCAATCAGAGGCTACAAAAGTGCACACATTTATGGTGCTCAGGTCTTGTGCCCAGAGTTACATGATGAACATAGATACAGCTTTGCTATATTAAGATTCATGGAAAATGGATAAATTTTAACTGTTCTTGCCCCCAAAGCACCAAAAAATTATACCTATGAAATTATGAAGATGATAATTTGCTCTACCCTAGTGACCTTTGAAGAGTAAACTCATATGTATGCCTTACATCAATTTAAAAAGTGGATACCATTGCCAGGTGTGGCGGTACATGTCTTTAATCCCAGAACTCAGGAGGCAGAGGTAGAAAGATCTCTGAATTTGAGACCAGCCTGGTATACAGGGTGAGTTTCAGGATACCCTGAAACTTGTCATAAAAAAAAGTGTCAATAGAAAACAAACAAACAAACAAACAAATAAACAAAAGAGTACTATTCATGAGGTAACTTTTATTCTCTAATGCACAGAATTGTAAGAAACTCTGAAACATGATGCATGCCAGCATAATATTAAATTATATGGAAATTTATGATAACACAACTTTTCTTCATGCTGAACTCAAGGACCAATACTGACTCTTTTCAAAGATCATGCAGAACTGTTAATTTATGCAACTCTTTGAAATTCTAGGAATGGAGCCTTAAAAGAATATGTGGCTTACAAACTTAACTTAAAAAAAAAAAAACCTCCTAGTTTCTAAGATGAAGAGATTTATCAGTGAACAAATCCTGTCTACTCAACAGAAAACGTGAGAAAATTTGGGGCACTCACGGATTAAAGACAAAGATAATACCCTCCCTCATCCCTGCGGGAGCAACAAGGGCTGTGTGAAATGGCACACACTGCCAAGTGCTCTGGAGGAACATAAACACCACTCCACAGATGTGCTGTTGCTAAACTTTTTTGGTTAGGTAAACTCAGGAAAAAAAACCAACCAACCAACCAAACAAACAAAAAACACAGCTCCTCCGATCATCCACCCCAAAGAGAGATGAATCCAAAGGAGATTACTTTTTTTTTTTTTTTTTTTTTTTATTGTATATAGCCATCCTTATATCCTTAGGGTTTTCTTCTGAGCCACACAGTCTTAAAGGAGTTTGCCAAGTTAAAAATAATTCAAAAACATTAAATAAGAAAATATGTAAAACACTTATTTTACATAAAGTAAGCTGGCCTGGATCGATAGATCACATGTGCTCTTTTTGATTCCTAGGAATGACTCAAACTTACAACTTTGTGGCTTTTTAGTTTATTAGATTTTAGACTGTTCTTTTGTAAAATGAAGGTAACATGTTCCCCACAATAAAATAGCATGGGTACTGGAGATTCTTCCTTGACACAAAATAGTTACTGGTAAAATTTAGCCATCATTTCCCTCCTTTGTAAGAGGTTGTAGCATGAAGAGCCACCTGATTTAAACCAGAAAGCATGGGCTAGGTTCTTTCTCTTTTAAATTTATTAGGTAAGTCATTTGACCTTCTGAACAGAAATTGACTATTTTCAATAAATGTGGATTGTAGCTTTCTCTTATAAGAAAAGATATAGAAATGTATACTTTAAGGTAAAATTTTAAGAACAGCATTATTGCCAGCAATGGACATAGATGAATAAAACCCACAGACACTGGAGAGGCAAAGAACCACAGTGCCGATTTGTTTTAGAATTATTATAAGTGCTTTTATTGGTCAGGTTCTTCACTATATGTTTGTTAAAAATGCCTTTATAAGAGAGTACAAAAAATGTAGATGTATAGGTGACAGGAGAGCTAAGTAGTATTAAATTCCAGGATAATTAGTTTACATTTAAAATCTTACTCAAATTGGTCTCTTCTGGCCTTGGTTCTATCTCTTATAGTAGACCCAATTATCCTACTACTGCATATGCCCCAGGCCTGACCATTTGATCTTACTGTAGATATGGAGTCGTTTTTGGACAACCAAAGTTTAGGTTCTACCATGTTTTAAGCATTAATACTTTTTGTAATGTTGATAATCTTTTACTGTTTGGTAGTATTGTAGAAGACAAAGGGAGATGGAGGGACTGTTTCATTCCACAGATGGAATCCACATTAGGGGTCTGCTTCAAATCAAATAATATCACCATTCAAATGTAAGGCTACATATATATATATAAATCATATGCCTATCAGGGAAAATAACTTTGAAATCTAGTTCACTTCACTTACTCAGACCATAAACTAAAAGAAGGAAAAAAAAAAAAAAAAAAAAAAAGCAAGTAGGAACTATATACCAGGCAACAACAGATTTCATTTCCTACCAAAGAAAGAAATCATGCATAGGAAACACACAAAGAGAATAAAGCCAATTCATGTTGAGCCTGTGGTGATGCTTTGAAGCTTACTTTTAACCTAGTCTCTTTTACATTTTCAGATGCCATGAAAGGTGATGTATGCAGAAGGCAACACCTTTGGGGATTGGGGGATTTTACTTTTCCCACTGGAGTGAAGATTTGAATCTTACTTTTTCTGAAAGCAGCTTTAAAGAACTCTTCAAGCTGTCTGGAGAATGCTGGCTGGCAGAGGTTAGCAGCAGGTCTGCGTGGGTTGCTATGAGAGGCTGCAGTTGATCGATGCTGCTGAGAACCTCCTTTGCCTTCGCAGTGTTTTCAGGTGAATAGTAAATAAACTGGTAGCCAGTGCTGCAAAGACAAGGATGGAGCGAGTTACACAAAGCGCAGAAAGCATTCACAGCTCTGAAAACTCTAAGACCAGAGGAAAAACAAACTCAAATTTCATGAGTCTCACTTAACAAATGAAAACAGAAGAGAGTCTTACAATGCCCTGAGATTTGTAAAATCCCAGAGAGTAAGAGCTTAAGAGATTAAGGCCAGAGAGTGTGAATCCATCCCATGATCAACCAAATGAAAGCTTGCATATGACCACATATGCTAAGAATTGGTATTAAAATGACTGTTAACATGAGTCACTAAAGAATACTAGGCCAAATAGTAGAACATGGGCCCTCAACCCTTATAATCAACTCAATTGCAGTGTAAACCCTGGCTTGTAGCTCACTAGGCTGTGAAATCCTTCAGCAGCTTCTTCATTCTCAGGAGAAAAGAGGATAAATTATGTAAGCAAATCTATGATATGGTTAAATTCAGAGACTCTCACATGCAGAGACTACAACAATGGTAGGAAGCAAGTGTTCAACACACTTTTATCTATGACAGTGACAAGCACAAGAGGGTAACAAACTCTATGAACTCAAAAATGAAGAGAAAATAAAATCAATTCCTCCAAGTGGTCAGAAAGGCCATCCCATTTTAAAGAGAAGAGAGGAATCTAAAGCTCCATTATATTATTTTATTTCCACACTTGTTCTTAAATCTAGCTTAAGAAAATAAAAATCGAAAATTATTAATTAGTAATTTTTGAGTTTCATCATCAGCATGAAAGAACTTTTGGGGGACCCTGTGAGAGCAGGTGCCAGGATGGAGAGGAATAGAAGGCAAACAAGAGGGAGAGAGGGAAGGAGAGGGGGAGGGAGAAGGTGAGAAAGGAGAGGGACAAGGACAAGGAGAGGGAGAGGAAGAGGAAAAGGGAGAGGCACAGAGGGAGGCAGAGGGACACAGGGGGAGGGGAAGGAAGAGGGTTGGGGAGAGGGAGAGGGAAAGGAAGGAATAATTGCTAAATTCACAGGGTTGGTACAAACTTTCTTATATTCTTTAATACAGCCAATAGCCAAACTTCTTTTAAAATGCATTGAAGCCTGTTTTGATTATTTATAAAATATTTTCCTTATGGTTACTAGCTAAATTGTTTAAATTCCCATGATTCCATTTTCAATTTTGAAGACTTAGAAAGTACTGAAAAAAAAAAAACTATCTAAAAAGCTTCTTTCCTCTCTCCTTTCTTCTTCAGTGGAAATTATTTAAATCTTTAAAAAAGATGATAATATTTTACAAATATATAATATATTCCTCACAATGTCCTTGTGTGTTTGAACCAATCCCATGAGAGCACAAGAAAGCAACACTGGCAAGCCGAGAGGTGCAGTACAGTGTGGACAGCCCAGGATTCATTCTGTTTTCTTGAGCTGCCTTTCTGAGCAGGGATGCCACAAGATTCAGCCCACTGGTCTTTAAGAAATAAAGCAACTCCATATTACCTTTGCAGTGAAAGCAGTTGCCTGAAGGAAGCAACGTGGCATTATAGTGGGGACAGTTCTTGACATCTCACAGCTGTGGTTAGAGAGGTCAGCGCTCACTGCACACCACACACACAAGACATTGTGTGATGGGTTCACTGTGGCCTGCTTGCTGGCCTAATTTCCCGGTACTGCCAGCTGCTTCCTGGACTTATGCGGACTGACAGGCTCCCCCATGGCTTAGTCCTTAGAAAGCTCAAGTGCCCAAGGCCAGGTGTTCTTCCACTTCTCTGCTCACATGACTTCTTTCTCAGTACATAACTTCTGACACTTCTTACTCTTTCTCCATCCCTTCATTGTGATGGCTGCATCTGTTCCCTCTTTGCTTTTCTGGCAGTTCACTCTGATGTTATTTGTAAATATCACCCACTTCCCTTTTACCTTTTTCTTATTTTGTGCCCTGAAAATTCTTTTAGAATTCTCTACATGAATCTAACATACATATTTCCCAGAAAGTTTTCTACATGTCTTTTTGGCCTTGTGGCTTCGATGAGTGGCTCTCAAATGTTAGCAGCCATAGCGTGCACTGCTGAATGAAGACAGGGTTTTGGTCCTTATTTTCTTAAGGATTTAGAATTTATTTGCAGTGCCAAGAGATTTTGCTTCAGTGGGCCCTGCAGTTGCAATAAATCCTTCGGAGGAGTTGATATAAGTGATCAGCTTCATCATTAGAGATACTTGCTGTCCTTGACTTGCTTCTGACAGCCCACTGTAACAGCTGGATCACACTTCACAATGAGTCTGTCAAAAACTCACTTAAGCTACTCCGAATGTCCTTGTACTTTTAATCAGGCTACTTTTACAGTTGTTCTTTACATTCTACCTAGGTTCCTCTGGTTCCCTTCCCATTATTACTGTGTCTTCTAACATTTCCCACTGCTGTTTTATGTTGTCCCTTTAAAGGACCTCATCCTCTTTCCCTGAGACTGTTCAGCCACAGCCTTGGACATAACCCAGGTTTCTGCCTCTTGTGGCTCAGTCAAGCCTCCCCTGAAGCTGTTATGTGGCAGTCATTGGTTCCTATTATGTTCTATTTGAATGATGGGCATTTTGGTGAGGCTGAGAGATTCATTTTCTGCAGTGAAGGCCAATGTTCATGTCTAAGATGATATAGTATGTCATGAAGAAAAATCATTATATACAAAATACTATTGAGTATGTATAGATTTCATCTATCTATTGAATGACTTACCCTGTAGACACATCATATATTTTAACAGTTACAGCTTCTTAAATAGAAATTTATAATTAAGTTATGTAGAAAAATAATAACTATTCTACAGTGTTCTGAGATTTAGGCTGAATCCAAATGCTGAGTCAACTGTCAATAAGCTGAAATCAGAAGAAGAAAATATTCCCTCAGAACACATTATAGAATATAAAATCAAATTATGGATGGTAGAAATTAAAATTGGTTTCACATTATATTTATATTGAATAAAAAGTGATTTAAAGTATGTACTTAGATGTTACATAAAGCTAAATACAATGAGAACACGAATATATACCATCTTCTGTATTTTATGTACTTTGATCTTTTATTACTGATCTGTCTTGTCTCTTCATCTTCTAGTGTTAGCAAGACTCAGGTACCAGTTTGGAACTTTGGCTTTCAAGATCCATTTGACATTCCTCAGTATTTAATCTCATGGTTTAAATGTGTCATCCATGTGTAGAGTTCTTCAATGCACATCTTCCCCTATCTCCAGTTGAAACAAAACATCTTTAGGCAGACCCAACTCAATATGTCAAAAAGAGTCCCTAGGCAGTTCTCCACTCTCAAACAAGCAGCTCAGCATCACTTTGATTCATGACATGACCACTAACTTCTCCTCTTCCCTGGCCTTTATCAGAAAAGCTGCCCTTCCCTTTTAAATAAACCTAGAATCCAGCCGCTTGTTCCTATGCTCAGTACATATATCCTACTGCGAGTGGCCATCATCTCCTACCACTGGGGCTGGGACAAAACAACACAAACTCTAACATTACCTTTAGCTCTTGGGAAAATGTGCTTTAAGAAATGGACATTTCCCAGGTGGTGTTTGTGCACTCACTTAATACCAGCAACCTGGAGGCAGAGGCAGGTAGATTTTTGCGTTTGAAGTTAGCCTGATCTACAGAGAGAGTTCCAGGACAGCCAGGGTTAGATTCAGAAACCATGTCTCAGAAAACCAAAATACAAACACACAAATACCAACCAACCAACCAACCAACCAAATAAACAAACAAACAAACAAAAGAAAAGAATATTTTTAACTTTTGCTCAGGGTTTGAAAGATAGAGAAGAGAGAACGGGTGGGAGAGGGAGGGAGGGAAGAAGGAAGGAAGGGAGAGAGATCAAGTATGAGCAAGAGTGAGCAAGAGAGAGAGAGAGAGACAGAGACAAAGAGAGAGAAACACACACACACACACACACAGAGAGAGAGAGAGAGAGAGAGAGAGAAAGAGAGAGAGAGAGAGATTCTTTTCCCAACCCAAGTTAACCTGGGACTTAACTGTAGTGTTTCTCTTTTTCCTCTACCTTACCCAATAAATGCTTAACCCATTGCTCAGCCACACTACTATTTTAGGCAATGGAGGAATGGAACGTGTGGATAACAGATGAAGGATAGAAAAGAAAGGAAAGGAGGAAAACACATGGGAATGGGCAGAAGACAGGAGTCAATGAAGTTAAAGGAAAGGAGGAAAACACATGGGAATGGGCAGAAGACAAGAGTCAATGAAGTTAACAACAGGTGTTCTAGGGTAGTAAGTCTCTCTTCCTGTGGTGAAATTAAATCTCCAAAGGAAGTCTCAGGGTAATTTTTTTATTTACCTTTTCCAAGTCATAGAGGTTGTGTGTGTGTGTGTGTGTGTGTGTGTGTGTGTGTATTTACAGAGGTACAGACATGCTCTTAGTTCTAACAGAGAAGAAAACCATGTGAATAATACATAGAAATTCACACTTTAGTGCACTCAAATACACTCTTCTAAAGCTTCACAGGGCTTAATAACATGTTTCCTGTTGAAGGTACAATCATATCTCTCTGCTTTCCCCTTGCCTGTTTTTTATTTCCTGTTGGATGTCAGGCTTAGAGAAAAGAGCTTTCACAAAACTCTCTTTCTTTGCCACCTGTGGGTTTCACTTATGTAATTAAATGACTTATAAAATCTACACTTAAATTGGTCTTTGCTGTTCAAATTAGTCGTTTTCTTAGGGAAAAAAAAGAACCTTGGATTCATGTAAAATTTAGGCTCTGTGTATGTTATGATTAAAGTTAGATTCCAGCACTTATTAACTCTCTGACAGACAAAATAGTATGAGCTACTCCATTTCTCCCATTTAGGAAATTTGTTTGTTTATTCTGATTAGTCTCTCTTAATGTCTGTTTTATTTTTTAAGCTGTTGACTGTGGTTTTTGTTTTTGTTTTTGTTTTACTACATGATGGTCTCTCTTACATATAAGTAGATATTTTACTGAAGATGAAATAAAAATGTTCTAGGTTCCA